CTCACCCAGGCCTGATGCCTACCATGACCCTGCTGTGGGTGCTGTGGCCTCAGCCCCTGCTGTCCTGCAGACTGGGTGCTGGAAGGAGTGGAGATGCAGTGGGGACACTGTGGTCTGGGGATCCTTGCTGACCCCTGACTAAAATCCCTAAAAATTATAAGAGGGCCAGGCTGGTGGCTCACGCCTCAAACCCTAGCTACTCAGAAGGCTGAGATCTGAGCACTGAGCACTCAGCTGCCCAGCAGGAGAACCCGTGAGACTATGCCCAGGTACCAGCAGACAGTAGCTCAAGTGGTAGAGTGCCAGCCTCTAGTGGAAAATGCTAAGAGACAGTGCCCACACCCTGAATTCCAGCCCCAGGACCAACACAAGACAAAACAAAACAAGATAAACCCTACATGAGGACAAGAGATGATCCTGGTACCTTGAGCCAAGAGCCTGGCTCCTGGAGCCTGGATTTGGAGCCATTAGCTTGGAGCCCAGAGCCTGGGAGACTGGAGCCCAGTGTAAGGTCCGCTCACCAGACTGACTCTACTTTTTGGCTTGTGCCCTGAAGAGTGCGATGCAGGCTGGGTCCCGGGGACCCCCCTCTAGGTTCCCTCTCAAAGGCTAGCCATTCTAGGTTTAAAAATTGCCAGAGTTTCCATTTGTTCAGGTTTCTGTCAATGCCTCATGAAACTTCTCCAGACTTCATCTAAGAGACTCGCTTCTTGCAGACATCATGGAACTGGCAGACCTGGAAGCAGTCACCTCCTACTAGGCCACCCCTCTTCCTTCCCCCCCCCCTTTTCCTTTTTCAGCCATGTTTCTCCACCATGCTGGGTGGGGGCAACAGTTCAGTCAAATTAACTTCTTTTCCTACCTGAATAGCACATGGTGTTCTTTTCATCAGCTACCCAATAAAACCTAGAATTTCCTAGCCACCCCTTTTTTTGTGAACCGAACTGCCTTGACACCATGCGAGATTTTTCACCAATACCATTGCTGGCCTTCACATCCACGTCCACTCCTCTACTCTGGTGAGTGAAACTACTCTCTACGGCTCTCTGTTGCTCAGTCTCTGTCCAGACGTGGCGCCACGCCAGAGAGCTCCTACGGCCTTTAGCTGAAAGGCCGGTCACCTCTGAAGCCGAGGACGCTTGGCTTTGGGGGCTTGGCCATTTCTCTCTAAAGGGCTCTGGGGGAAGTCGGGACGCCGCTTCTGTCTGGTCAGCTCTCCTTCACTGCCTTCTCTGGGAGGGGACCAAATTCCAGCCTTTTACCCCTATTGTCGATGCCCCTTGTGAGCAGGAAGTAGCCAGAGAGAATCCTCGCCCTATTTCATGATTATTAAAAGGCTGGAATGTAAGGTCTGCCCCTGGATGGCAAGCAGACTCCACCCTCCTCGCAGCAAAGTCTCCACCCATTACCTGTGTTACCTAGGCAACTGGGACACCTGGAAGAGGTCACATCTGCACCCAATGAGGTCACATCTGAATTTGATGTGGCCACACCTTCCCCCTAGATAAGGCCTAGCTCAGGCCCAGGCGCTCTCTCTGTTCTAGCTCTCTTGCTCTGTTTCTAGCTCGCTCTCTGTTCGTTTCTCGCTCTCTCTGTTCTTTTCTTGCTCTCTCTGCTCTTTTCTAGCTCTTTTCTCTCTTTTGCCAGCCACGTGGAGTGCCAACTTTGCCTGGTCCCAGCAGGTCTACTGAATAAACCTACCCCTTACCTGAATACCACGTAAGTGCTGGTGCAGTTCTTACTCGGTAACCTCTTTTTAAAAACCTAACACCCAGGAGCCTGGGAGACGGGAGCCCAGGAGCCTGGAGCCCAGGAGCTCAGAGCCCAAGAGCTTGGAGCTCAGGAGCCTGGAGCCCAGGAGCTCCAAACCCAGAGCCTGGGAGACTGGAGCTCAGGAGACTGGAGCCCAGGAGCCCAGAGCCCAGGAGCTCAAAGCCCAGGAGCCCAGAAGCCTTGAGCCCACAAGCCCAGAGCCCCAGAGCCCAGGAACTCAAGAGCCCAGGAGCTCAGAGCCCAGGAGCCCCGGAGTCCAGAGCCCAAAAACTTGGAGCCCCAGAGCCCAGGAGCTTGGAGCCCCAAAGTCCAGAGCCCTGGAGCCCAGAGCCTAGGAGCCCGGAGCCCGAAGCCCAGGAGCTCAGAGCCCAGGAGCTCTGAGCCCTGGAGCCAGGAGCTCGGAGCCTAGGAGCTTAGAGCCCAGGACCTCGGAGCCCAGAGCCCAAGAGCCCAGGAGCTTGGAACCCAGCAGCCCAGAGCCCAGGAGCCCCGGAACTTGGAGCCCAGAGCCCAGGAGCCCAGGAGCCCAGAGCCCAGGAGCCTAGGAGCCCAGAAGCCCAGAGCCCGGAGCCCAGGAGCCTAGGAGCCCAGAGTCCAGGAGCCCAGGAGCCTGGAGCTCTGGAGCCCAGAGCCTAGTAGGCCAGGAGCCTAGGAGCCCAGAGCCTAGGAGCCCAGGAGCTTGGAGCCCAGGAGTTCAAAGCCCAGGAGCCTGGAGCCCCAGAGCCCAGAGCCCATGAGCCTGGAGCCCCAGAGCCTGGAGCCCCAGAGCCAGGAGCTCAGGAGCCCAGAGCCCAGTGTCCAGGAGCCCGGAGGCCAGAGCCCAGGAGCTCAGAGCCCAGGAGCCCAGAGCACAGGAGCCCAGAACCCAAGAGCCCAGGAGCTTGGAGCCCAGGAGCCAGGAGCCCGGAGCCCAGGAGCCCAGGAGCCCGGATCCCAGGAACCCAGGAGCCCCAGAGCTTGGAGCCCAGGAGCCCGGAGGCCGGAGCCCAGGAGCTCAGAGTCCAGGAGCCCAGAAGCCCAGGAGCCCGGAGGCCGGGGCCCAGGAGCTCAGAGCCCAGGAGCCCAGAACCCAAGAGCCCAGGAGCTTGGAGCCCAGGAGCCCAGGAGCCCGGAGCCCAGGAGCCTGGATCCCAGAAACCCAGGAGCCCCAGAGCTTGGAGCCCAGGAGCCCAGAGCCCAGGAGCCCAGGAGATTGGAATCCAGGAGCTTGGAGCCTAGGAGCCCAGGAGCCCGGAGCCCAGTAGCCTAGGAGCCTGGAGCTCTGGACACCAGAGCCCAGGAGCTTGGAGTCCTGGAGCCCAGAGCCCAGGAGCCCAGGAGCCCTAGAGCCTAGGAGCTTGGAATCCAGGAGCTCAGAGCCCAGAGCCCAGGAGCCTGGAGCTCTGGACCCCAGAGCCCGGGAGCTTGGAGCCCAGAGCCCAGGAGCCCAGAGCCTAGAGCCCAGGAGCCTGGAGCCCAGAGCCTAGGAGCCCAGGATCCTGGAGCCCAGAGCCTAGAGCCCAGGAGCCTGGAGCCCAGAGCCTAGGAGCCCAGGAAACCAGGAGCCTGGAGCCCAGAAGCTTGGATCCCAAGAGCCCAGGAACCTAGGAGCTCAGAGTCCAGGCCTGACTTCCCAATTCACCTGGACTGGGGAGCTTTCCAGGGGCCTCACCCTCTGGGAAGAGCTGCGGTGCCTTCACCTGCCTGCCTTGGGGAACACACTGCACACATCAGACTGTATCCACAGCAGCGAACCCATTCACACCGGCCAGTACCCACACTGCTCTCACACCCACACCCACACATCAGTATCCACCCATGCTAGCATGCATCACCTTCCCTATACTACATCCACCCCATACTAACACCCATTCATATCAACAGACCCCCAACATCCACACCAACACACACACATACACACATATCAACAAACATACCCCAACATCCACACCAACACACATCAGCACCCACACCTATCAACACCCCCAACATCCACACCAACACACACACATATCAACAAACATGCCCCAATATCCACACATATCAACCCACACGCCCCAACATCCACATCAGCACACACGCCCCAACATCCACACCAACACACATCAGCACCCACACATATCAACACCCCCAACATCCACACCAATACACACACACATCAACACACACCAGCATCCACACACCAACATACCAATGTCCACACATATTAACAGCCCCCAACATACACACCAACACACACCAGCACTTACACATACCAACATCCACATACACCCACACCAATATATGCCAACACCCACACATATCAACACACGCCCCAATATCCACACATATCAATACATACCCCAACATCCATGCATATCAACACACATGTCCCAACATCCACACACCAACATGCCAACATCCACACATAGCGTACACCCCAACATCCACACCAACACACGCCAACATCCGCATGTGTCAGACCTATCCTCCAATATGGATCTTCATACCCATGCTCACACCCACCCACACTAACACCTCACACCCCAAGACCGACACCCACCACACCCTCACTAGCATCCACCCACACATCAACACCCAATGACATTCATCCACACACCAATTCCTGATCCACTCCCACACCCCAGCATTCACCGCTTCCAGTGTCATCTCTCACACACTCAGCATCTACACACCATCGTCTGTATACTCTCACAGCATTCACACCAACAGCCCCACATGCCCTGTGTGCACTCCCACTCCTGTACACTCACACCTCACAATTCACCCATACCACACTCACACTTCCCATGCTCACACACAGCACATGTCCTCACACACGACACCCATGTGCTCACACACCTGTACTCTGGTTCTCGCTGTGTGTCTGAGCTCAGGCTCCAGGCTGGACCTCAGCTGTAGCCTCTCCCTCACCACAGGCCTGAGGCCCAGAGCTGTAGAAGAAGCGACACAAATCCAAGGTTGCCCAGGGATCAAGAAACCCACGTGGAGGGCACCAGAGGGCTGGGGTCATCCAGGGGGTCACCTGGCAGCCCGGGCCAGCCTGCACGGAGCCTCCCTCTGGACTTCAGCCTCCAGGGTGGGTGGCATGGGCCACGCAGGCCTGGTACGGTCCTCTGGGGACCTCAGCCCCTGCCAAGGGGGCTGTGCCCTGCTCCAGTGAGCTCACTCCTCCCAGACTGGCTGGTTAATAAGAAGCCCAGCCTGGGGCAGCACCACGGACTTTGGCTGCTGGAGAATCACGCAGAATCCCTGCACAGTCCCTCCAGAGGACGTCCAGAGCAAGGCACTGGCCATGACCCAGCTGGTGGAATGTGTCCCCAACTTCTCAGAGGGGAACAACCAGGAGGTGAGAGTGTGGAGGAGGAGGTGAGAGCGTGGAGGAGGAGGTGAGAGCGTGGAGGAGGAGGTGAGAGCGTGGAGGAGGTGAGAATGTAGAGGAGGAGGTGAGAGCGTGGTGGAGGAAGTGAGAGCGTGGAGGAGGAGGTGAGAGCATGGAGGAGGAGGTGAGAGCATGGAGGAGGAGGTGAGAGCGTAGAGGAGGAGGTGAGAGTGTGGAGGAGGAGGTGAGAGCGTGGAGGAGGTGAGAGCGTGGAGGAGGAGGTGAGAGCGTGGAGGAGG